CTCAACTAGCAAGCTTTCAACAAAGCTGGATAATGTAGTTTCCTTCACCCTAGAGTTCATGACACTTCTTTATTAGGCCTTTCTCTGAAAAAGAGAAGATTTTTTTTTCTCATGTCTTTCCCTCCCTCTCTGAAAATCCCTTCCAGGAGAGACTGACTAGAAAGATGAGGACTCTATAATCATGTAAATAGTAAGGTACAGAAGACTATAAAAAAAATTGCAATTTTCTTCTCTGTGATTTGCTACTGCTCTTTTGCACATGACCTCCACACATTTGCACTGTGCTGTGCCACAGTATCTAAATCTGTGAAAGGGGAATAATAATATTTAACTAGTTTAAAGGGGAGTTATGTGGCAAGGATCTTTATAAGAAGGGGACGCTGACCTGACACTCATTCTTGGATAACTGAAAACCTTTTTTAACTGCTGGATTGAAGTAAAGTGATGTGAAAGGCCTGTCAGGAGGGGCACATCCTGGTCCATAGAACATTAGCATCAACTGTAGGAAAAGAAAGGATGGACATGATCTACACTAGAGTCTGTCTCTCAGTGCTCAATATCTGGGAAGGGGCCTGATTCAGCATCCCCACCCCCCTGTCAGTCTGGCGTGGTGTAAGAGCAGTTTGGAACAGCAAAGGACAGTTGGTGCTCATAGAGGGAAGAATTTTCTGTCCTTTGACTGTTTCAGCACTAGGTGAATGCAAACACACTTACACGTTATTTTTCTTGTCATAGTTCCTCCATAGCATGACATACATAATACAGAATAGTGACATAAGCTGCATATGTGCTTTCAGCTGTGATCCTGACAAAAGCTCTTCACATGCTACAGCATTAATAGAGGAGGACTGCAGCAGAGGCACGCTAATTAACCTCTGTTTTTATGGATCATTGCCAGATCTTATGTGCAGCCAAGAACATTTAACTTACCTTAATGAGTAGCATGAAGGTTAAGATATCAAATGTGCCGGGCACATTTTCCTTGGCTTAGTGAACATGTGCCAAGTGAACTATGTTTTATTTTAAATAAACATGCTAAAGCCATTGCTTGATACCATCTTAGGTGAATGCAAACAAGGAATGTAAGCTTTTCCTGTTGTGAAAAAAATACATTCTCCATTTTAGCCATATGTCTATGAAGAAATGGCCTTTTTTATGTTCTCTTATCACAGATTTCATAAGCAGTTCAATACTAACCAGGATTTCTGTTTGCTTGCTTTCTTTTATCTTATTTTCTTTTTGCATTTGTATTCCTATTTGTCTTCCTACAAGGATAAGGTAGGAAATAAGATATTTCTTTTTACAGTAAAAAGATTTGGTGCTTTTGTGAAAGTATCTTCACAGGAACTCATCGAAAACTTTAATCATATGGCTCCCTGAAAGACTGATCTGATTTATTCAGAGGGTGGATTTATTATATGGTCATATTGAGCAATGTATCTTAATAGTGAAAGAATAAGAGAATTTATAGCCTAAGTGCCTTCTGTTATAGGAAGCTGAAGGACACAAAGTATCAAAAATATTTCTGGTTCCTGGAATATCAATCAGCAGCTGTTCCCAAACACGCCATCTTAAGATGCCATGGGACATTTGCTTGAGAGTGAAGCTACCTTAGGGCTAGACATTCCTGTGAAAACCTGGTTTTGCAGGAGTGTAAAGGACCTCCTGAGGGAATGGTTTTCTTCTTGCTATCACAAGCACCACCTCAGAAGAAGCGTGGAGGATAGCAGAATTCCCAGGTGAGAAGGGTGGAAAAAATCAAGACAGTGCAGATGTGCTAAAATTAGTACAACCTGTATGGGGAAACAGAAGGTCTGATCTGGGCTTTTTACCAGAATAAAGGATGAGGTCACTGCATGATAGCTCACTACTCGATATCAGCTATCACTGCCTCACACCATTTTTTTTCTCTCCCTTCTGAAGGCAGCCCTTGATTTAGTGAAGGTTTGTAGAACAGGTGGATTAAAGATTGGTAGAGTCTCGGTTCTCTTATCTTCCGTGTTAGCATGTTATGCAGGCAGGAGCCCAGGAGCAAGCTGCCATCTCAGAGTGGAGCGTCACACACCTCCACTCCAGCGGAAGCTATTAGCAGTGTGTGCTTTGCCTTCTCAAGTAATCGTACAGTTCTCCTCAGCTGGGGCTGCCATCTAGACAAATGAAGGTGTTTATCCACAATGAGTTTTCATCGTAGCTGAGGATTGTTTACTAACTACTCACTAAGACTGTTCAGAATGGGAATCCTTCATGATCTTCACTGTAAACGTTGTAAGTTAGAAACAATATTGCCTCCTACGAATGCTGGGGAGGGGTTCCTTCATTTTTTCATCTATGGCTACATTTCATCCACAACATCTAATCCTGCTGGCATCAAAAACAGCATTTTCATGATTGTTTTACCTTTCTCTCTCATTCCACCTATCATCCCTCTTTGCTTTGGCTTGTTCTCTCTGAATAGCTTTGTCCCCTCAGGACATACCCCTCAGCCTGGGTAATATTAGTTCATGTTATATCCTCCTAATATCAAGTTGCCTCACAACAACCTCAACATCTGTTTCTCTGGCAGAAAACAGAAAGTGTATATAACATGTTTAATCTTCCACAAGAAAACTGATAGTACAGGGAGGAACTGAAGCCAGGACTCCTGGGTGCTATGCACTTTGGTACTTGTGAAGAGTGGCCCAGTCTTCATCCTTAAATATCGACTCACTGGAGCGTGCTTAAACAACCATGGGGGTAAGCAACTGCAGACAGAAAGAAAGCTAAGCAGTGCCGAGCTAGATGCCAAGATACCATTATGGTGATAGGAGAACATGAAAGCTAAGAATCAAACCCCTTCGCTTTTGTAAGATTTAGGATTTCAATGCCAAGAAGCATTGTATTGCCTGTGGAGTCTATTTTCACTTGTATTTACTCTGTGGTACTCAGTAGGGATGGAGTTCTCCTTACAGCTGGTTCAAGAATTAACCATATTCTTCTAAACCAACCTAAAATTATCCTATTTCTCCTGAGTGTGACCAAAATAAACCTTTAGGAGACCAAAACTCTTCTGATGTCTGAGAAGTGAGGTACAAACAGAAGGAAAGACTGCTCCTAATGTAAGGAATAAGTAAGAAATATGCATAGAAAATGCAAATGCTGTATAAGTTAGGGTCTTCAGCCCAAGTTAAAGCAATACGAACCAAAGAAAATGGCCATTACCAAGAAGTGATGGCAAGAATGAATTTTTCACCTGACTGGCTAGAACAGGACACAAAGGAAAACCAGGCTGGCTTAGCTGACCAAAAAAACCCAGAAATTAATGTTAAGATTTGGATCAAGCCTGCCTAGAAATGGTCATAAACAAAACATATCTATTTACCATGTGATAACTTAGCTTCATACTGGTAATTAGATTTTATAAGATGGGCTCTGTCCTCCATCAGGGCTCCTCTGGAATTGAGCTTATGTCCTACTTTGCAGCTCCTTCTCAGTTAAGAATTTCTTGACAATAGTGGTAACGAAGCATTTGTTTCCTTACAGTTTAAAAGCTTGAGTAAGACTGAGCCCTAAAGAACTGCAATCTATTAGAATTTCTGAACATCTTAAAACTTATAAGGCTATTTCCAGGACTCATGATTTTTCTCATGAAATATTTATGTGACATTATTTTGAATTGCTTATTTTATTCCATATTCATATTTTCAGTAAAGAGATTTTGAAACCTTTGGATATTTTCTTTTCTGAAACTGATTTCTTGACAACTTTTTGCTCCCACTTCATGTCTAGGTTCAACATTGATCTCAATTCCCAAACTTGCAAACTTTCTTAAAGTGTGATGGGTGGGGTGGAGTGGGATGGAGAAAGGTTTTATGGAAATAGCTGCCTTTCCTAAGTACAAAAGGGAAGAGTTGGTCCGGAAACCACCTCCACCCCCCCATCTGGCTTGGTACTATGTAAGTGCTTTCTCCTCAGTAGTATCACTAAACTTTAAAATACAGGAAGAGATTCACACTGCACTCTATTTCCTCTGTGGGCATTGCCTGGGAGGACTTTCTTCATCAGTGTCTTCTACCTCTTTACATTCTCCATACGTGCCTGATTTGGAAGTTCACATCAGGTTTTCCCTAGATCTATTCTATTCCCCAAAATGTCATCTGAAATTTGGTGATAAGCAGCTTACAGAACTGACATTCTCTTCTTTAGTTCAATAAAATTTCACTCTTTGCAATCCTGTAAAGCAAAAGATGGTTAATAATTTGGAGCCAGTTCAGTGAAAAACTGCTAGCTTTACCTCAGAGTGATTTGAAGTGATACATTCCAATACTGGACAAATCTGGTTAATCTAGAAAAGAAAGACTGAGGGCAAGAGGACACAATAACAGTATTTCAGTACAGAAAGATTGTTACAAAGAAGGCAATCAATGATTATCCATACCCACTTTGAAAGGATAAAAAGAAAGCTTAATTTGCAGAGAAACACATTTGGGTGGGATACTTGCAAAATCTGCCAAAGCTGTCAAACTGATGAGCCACTGAAACGGGGACATTGTAAAATCTCTCAGGGAATGATTTAGGGCTTTCATGAAAGAATTCCATAATCTTTTGAGGGCTTGCCTGGCCCTGCTTAAATGTGGTTAGTCGTTACATTATGACAGGGGCTGGAAAACAACACTTTTGTGTATATGTATATATATACTTATACACTAATACTATACATATATGTACACTAATATGCACTGATGTACTGTATATACACACTAGTAATAAACTAATATACGCTGATAATCTACTAATATACATTAATAATATGCGTTATTTATAAACATGTGCATGTATATAATTATATGTCACTTCAACTTTTCTCAAATGTTTATTCTTCCTGAGTGTTCCTGAGACACAGACAAAGCTCATTAGAAATGCTGAATATATTCTCCAGTCTTCCTAGTAGAGAGGGCCAGTTTGAATGGCTTTATTTAAATTAATTTGCATTCTTCCTTACCTAAATCAGTCAGTCAAGAGACATGCTACCCCTGAGTCCTGAATGCACAGTCTGCAAATGCCAGCTCAGGGAGCTCATGCACCTTCCTCCAGAGGCAGAGCACATGACTGGACCTATTGCACACGAGCAGAAGAGTCAGCCCTTCTCAGAAGAACTGTATAACACGTCTACATGTGTGGAAAGAGCTAAGGGACTCAAAGTACAAGTATAATTAAAGAATTAATTTTCATAATTGTGGTCTAGCACCGGAGGCGTGTGTGTGCGCTCACACAGTAGACTTACGTCGCCAGTTCTCTGTGTAATCCAGCAGCTTCTTGGCTAGTCATCTGTATAGATGAGATAACAGACTGGTTGGACACAATGGACTAACTTGAAACCACCCTGAAAGCAGGAGATTGGCTGAACCTTCACAATTAAACATTGACAGACTCTTACAGGAGCTGGGAAGTTTGGGCAGGTCTAGAAACTCCCAGATGCAACTCCTGCTTTGTCTAGTCCCATTTACATATTTAAGTGTGTTAATTAATACTCTGGGTGGAGTATCCAGGACCTTTTCTAGGTGATTTAAGTGATTAAATTGTGCGTAGATAAGACATTTGTAAATACTTAATAGAAACTGTCTGTGCAGAAATGGTCTATGGAACTAGTCTTTTGTAGGTAGTTCAGATATTTAAGAAATGCTTAGTATGTGGTTAAAATATACCAATAGTGATGAATTATGCAGGACTGGGGTTGTCACATGGGATCATGGGCCATCCAGGTTATAAGAACTGAGCAGAACATTCATGTGAGGAGTCTCTGCTGACCTAGCTGAAGACACTGACATGAGGACCCTTGCAATGGAGACTCCCTCCACCACCAGCAACCAACTGTCCGTTTTGGGAGATTTGAGACTGTATGCAAGCATCACCCTACGCAAACATCCCAATAAATTAGTTTCTTCTTTCTCGACAGGCACTCTGCCATGAATGTCCATACAATGAATGAGTGAAAGCCTATATGCTCCCTTAGGGCCTAAAAGATGGCCAGGAGCAGGCTGTCATCTGCAGAAAAACCCATTCTCCCTACTCCCACATGCCTTTGGGTGTGGGAGAAGGCTATATATTCCATGAACTGTTCTGGTAGCTTCCGTTGTACAGTCCTTATTGTATGATGTGAACAGATGTGAATCCATTATGGGAGAGGGGGGTTGTACAAGGCCTTTGGGAAAAAGAACGGTCAGCTCTGGGTCAGCAGAACAGTTCAGCCCACAATCTGTCCTGGGGGTATCTTCAAAAAAGAGGTGAAGTGGGCCACAAGCCAAATGAGTCATCCTGGAAAACTGCTTCACTGGCACATATCAATGCTTATTTCTGAGATTATATATAGAGTTTTCAAGGAACTTTGAAACTCAGTCCCATTTGTCAAAATGATGTAAGCACTTCCTTGCCACAGACTGTTGACAAGACTCTGAGATTCCCAAGTCTAAAACTTAGTTCCTGTTAACTATTGTAACCCTGTTAACGTACAGACTAATCTATGGCCAAATCTTTCCCATAAAACATTTCTTAGGTGTGCATTAGTTTATATTATCCCTGTCTTTAATCTCTGACAATACAACTAAGCTTTGTCTAAATGCCGTCCTTTTCACTAAATGAAGAAAAGTCAGGTTCCTCTGCATATTTTTTGCTTTATTTATTCTCAGCTTTATTATTAATTGTACAGTTTATGAATGCTAAACACAGTCTGTAAGTTCTGATAAATAAGCAACAATAAAAATCTGATCCTACTTGCTGCTGAGGACTTTCAAATTCCTCTGGCCTATATTTGTTAATCAAGCTACCACTGCCTGAAATGCAGTGCTTGATATATTCGTAAGTGATGTTTAGTGAGAAGCTTGTAATGGAGGTAATAAGTAGGATGGATCTTTAAATAATCAACAAGTAAGCTTAAAACATTAGAGGGAACAATGTCCAGGAAGGGGAGAGAAGGGTCCATATTCTGGACTCAGGTTGGTAATATGAGTTATCACAAGTGGTCTGAGCTAAAATTTTTAGAGGGGAGGGTCACATCTTAAATTGACGGTTATCCAGCTCTTTAAATAGCGCAGAGCTCAACCAGTTTCCTGTGAAGTACTAGTTCAGACTGATACTGACACTTTGGTTTCCTCTTTGTTTTAGGAACGGCTGGTGCTCTCCGTCTTACCACGGTTTGTAGTTCTAGAAATGATAAATGACATGACCAACGTAGAAGATGAACATTTGCAACACCAGTTTCATAAGATCTACATTCATCGTTATGAGAATGTCAGGTGGGTGGAGGAACCTCTCTTTAAAGTTTAAGGTCTCAGATGCTGCTAAGTGTCTCTTGTTTGAGAGTTTCCCTTCTGTCGCTGTATTCATTCATGAATTAGAAAATTAGTGTACCCTTGTTTAATCCCTGAACAGATAAGCACTTTGGTGCCTTCTTCTACTCATCAAGATGGCTGGATGCCTTTGCCATGGCAAGACCCATTTGAACTGAACACTGGGCCTGGACCATTTGTGGGTTTTTTCACCTTAATTAAGTGGTCGGGTTTGCACAGAAAGGGGAGCCCTGCCTGCATGTGGATGCATATTCTGCCACAACCTTCTGTTTGACCCCACACGCTGAGAAATGAGATGGAGACTTGTAAGATGCTCTCAAAGATGTAGACATGTCATGTGGCTCCTCTGTTCAGTGGCCATTTTCATTCAATCATTCTTATTATCATTTTCCTAATTCCATTTCCCTTTTTTATTCCCCTCTCTAAATTTTATCTCTCCTGAAATTAGTTAACGGGAAGGTGATAGTTATCCTATGAGCTGCTACTCAAGCTAATAAGCCCTAATTGTACATTTACACCAGAATGATCAGCTTCCACTCCATGATGTTACAGAATGTCTGATTTTATTGTGGTTCCTGACCATCAGAATATTTAGCTAAGCCAATAACATTTTCCATAAGTTTGTCCCAAACCACAAGAGCAAACGATTGAGTGGCCATCATTGAAGGAAGTGAAAAATAAGCATCCTTGGATATGATGGGAGATGGTTTGCTAGGAAAGCATGTACTTTGCCTTTTGATGAAATCCGAATATAACTTTGTCTGGACAAGTTCAATAAACATAATTTGAACTTCTGCAAAAGAGTAAATTGATTATCTGCTTCTTCTGTGGCCTTGCAGTAGCTCAGACATATTATTTTGTTAAGTCTGGTGGAAAGTATTAAGGACCCTTACAAAAGGTTTGAATTATACTAAATTAAAATATCTTCCATTACCCTTTTTCATTCTCACATATTGCTGTGGAAGAATCAAAGTGGGGAGAAGGTGGCCCTCCTGGTTGAATGTTTTTTAGTTGTAGTCAGGGGTGAAAAGTCGAAACAAAATTTATGCTTGAAAGAAATTTAAAATTGAGTTTCTGTGTGCTTTAGAGCACAGATACTGGTTGGTTCCTGTGCATGCTGCCAGGGACCAGATCTTTTCAAAACTGTGCATGCTGCCAGGGACCAGATCTTTTCAAAAGATCTGGTTTTTCACCTTATTTTTTCCTAAATGTTGAGCACTGAACACTACCTAAACCAATGCTGTATGAATCCCTAAAATTAGTATCTAGTTAGAGTTTTTTGTTGTTTTGATAATGAAAACTGTAGAAATTAGTTGTCTGAAAATCTTATTTTTATCAATTTAGGCTATTATTAATATTCATTCCTCTTCGGGTAGTTTGGTACTTTACCTTTTAATTTTGTTTTTTCTCACTGGTAAAAATTTTACCCAGTTTGTTAGCCTCTTGCTTAATCCTCACCCAAACCCTTACCAGCCCGTACATTTAAAGATGAGTTGAATTATCGTTAGTCATATTTTATTGTCCACCTGACCATTACTATAGTTATTATTGGTTACATTAGTGATTCTCAAACACTGTCAAATCATGATCTTGTTCAACACAAATGAAAGATCTTCAGCTACTCAGATTGTAACACCAGTTATCAGTTGACTTTGAAGTGCTGATGAGGTTCGTTTGGGTTATTTCCAGTCTGGGCCAGCATAATATGTGTCTTTTTGAACATTGTTATTTTTTAAAGTAGACAATACTTTCCTTTCTTCAGCTGCTAAGTACTGAGCTAATACATGCTTTGGTCTGGGTGATAGCTTGCACACCACAGACTTTGCGTGTGTGTGCGCGTGTGCGCGCGCGCACGTGTGTGTGTTTCTCTATAGTCACGTGCGCTCATTGTAGGCATAACGAACAGCCAAAGTTGCATGGCTAGAAAATTCACTGGCTGCTGAAATATAGCTTAGAGCTCTGCTTGCAACTAGTTGACTAAGATCCTACCATAACTTCAGGCACCCAATTTGATGCACCTAAACTGAAAGTATGATCACATCGGGCTCCCTGTGAAGCCAATGGAAAGGACAAGGACTCACACAAATAAAGATTCATACCTAAAATAGAGGGTACTATACTTCTAACTCAGATACTTCTGTCGAGTCCCTAAAATTAGATGCAATAAAGCTGGCCTGAACCTCGTATATATCAAAACTGTCATGAGTCTGTCTGTTGCCTTAGGATTTGAGTCTTGTATAGCACATAGATAAGTAAAGCCTGAAAATAACACTAAAATTGAAATTGCTGAAGTCAAACCCACTGTAAAAAACAGCTATATATAAACCCAGAACACTGTCAGATACTGACACACGGCTGGGTGCCAAGTCTAACTGTTTATACAGCCCTTTATATTATGGGTGCACTATGCCTCAGTCTCCTCACTGATAAATGGGGACAACTGTGCTTATTAAAGCTTAACTATATCTTCCTGAATGATTTGAAAATCCAAAATTGCATAACACACATTTTTGGCAAAACCCTTTCTCATACGTGGTAGTGTTTCTTTAGTCCCTTCAATATTTGTATTCAGTACTCCAGAATCTCCAAAAGTCTAGAGCAAAGGTAGCATGACTTTAAAATGATCCTTCACTAGTAAATTACTAGATGGTAACTTAGGACATTCAGTTATCAAAGGAAATAGACTGCAATATTAATATATCTTCTTTTTTTAGCATTCTTTTTGCAGATGTTAAAGGATTCACCAACCTCTCCACAACTCTGTCAGCCCAGGAGTTGGTCCGAATGCTGAATGAACTCTTTGCCAGATTTGATCGACTAGCACATGTGAGTTAAACACAGTTTATTTGCAAAAGGATATGAAATCAACGCTGTATTTAGGAGCTTTGGGAAATACCCTCTGATCACTTTGAACAATATTGATCCAGATTTTCGTCATTGGAATTTTATACAGCCATTGATGTTGGAAGACACTGACAAGTTTTATCAAAAGCAATGAGTTCTGATAGCAAGCGAAAGCTCAGATAGTCATCAGAACTTTGTGCTTCTGTAGTGCTAGACCAAGAATGATATGAAAGCAGATCACCTACCACGGTTTCTAAGGAAGATTTATAGTTCTGGTCCTTGCTGGAAAATGAATTTTTTTTAAGACCATAGCTTTGTTTTGACTTTTCTTCTAAGAACTGAGGAAGGTTAAAAGACCTATTCATTTAAAGGTCACATAATCAGCCACCACAGTCATTGCAATGGTTAGTTACTATCAGGTTTACAATCTTTAGGTTGTATGCTATCTAACTCAACAATGAAATTAATTAAACACAGTAGAGGAATCTATTACGTTAGGCAAATTAGTTGTTACTTAATTAGTACTGATTAGAAAAAAGCAAAGCATAGAAATAGAAGCAGAATACATGCTCAATTTTGCTAGGCTTGCATTTTCTTTTCTTCTTTTTTATGTTTCTTTGGTCAAAGTTTCATTTCTTGTGACTATCTTCAGGTATCAACATCTGAGCTGGCTAATAAGGCTGCTAATGTAGGCAATGAAGTACATTTAATGGAGTTTAGTTTACAATTTATCCAACCAAATGAAGGCACCTACTATGGGAAAACAGGAATTACATTCTGAATATCATTGAGCATGCTCTCTATTTACTATAAAGGGAGCCTAGAGTGACTTGCTCTGATGTACACATTTACGTCCCTCAATGATTTTTATACCTTTCTGGTTCAGGGGTATGGGGTGTTTGTTCACGTATTGCACAGGCATTAGTAAGACCCTTGGTGTCATCTCTTAGCTTGCAAATTAAAGTCAAGAAAGGCAAGACTTCCATAATTATTCAAAGCTCTTTTGAGTCAGCTATTTTTATCTCAAATAGCAATGTGTTTTCTCATGTACAGAGTGATGCCATAACCCATTGCCTGGACACTGGCAAATTGGTAAATGTAATCTACAATATTTGTCTTGCAAACAAAAAAATCTCATCAACTCTGATCTACATTAAAAACCAAGCAGGGTGGAAAATTTACCTCAGTCCTGTCTTTTAGAAAGCTTATAGGAGTAATGTCTGCTTTTGTGTGGCTTGACAAAAATAGCTACCCTAACTGAAGAAACATATTTTAAACCAAATTAAATGTATGTATGTCACAGAAGTATTTTAGGAAGAACATGTACACAATATGATTTATTGCCTTGCTTTACATTTCAATTTTGCCTAGCATTCTTGGTAGAATAGATTCTTCTTTCATGATCATTAACCATATTTTCTAATCATTCCATGAACTATATTTAACCAACAGAGATTTTGTGTAGAAGGACTAGATGCAATAAAGGAGTTAAGAACAAGGAGGGCATTTACATCTAAAAGTGTAATCCAGAGAATCCTCCCTCACTTGCCACTTAACCCTGAAGGCACTTCCCTGCTTGGTTTTAATATTTTATAGGAACTGAACATTTTGCTTCTTTAAATGCCCAAAGGTTTCCCCCTTCTCTGCGGTTTGTCATACATCTCCTACTTCAACCTTCTAGAAATCTTTCTGTTGCAGTCCTGAACTCATAAATCTTTATGGAGAACACTGAATGTGCCAACATAGGAGTGAGTATCACAAAAATGTAGGTGAGCTTATTTTAAACAAACAGTAATAAATATACCAGTTTCTCTAACATAGCCAAGAATTTCTTACCCAGAAATTTGCAGAGTTTGGGATGAAAGAACTTCTCTGCCTGCAAAACTTCATCATCAGGACAGTCACCTCTCAAGTGAATGTCCCAGTCACTAAATTCAAGACTGTAGGCTGCTTCATGCATTTTCTTTCTTAGTCTGTGAATTTTCTTTTCTCTTCTATACATCATTGACTAGACTAACCCAGTTGTCTAGATCAATCCTCTGAAAGGTGGGAGACACAGAGAAGAATCACTGCAGAAATTGAACAGATTTGACTACAAAGATTAGAGTGATCTAACCGTGACTAATTAAAATTTATTAAAAAGAAAGGCATTTTGATTGTGTTCCTTGTTTGTGGCTTCTGAGACCTGGATGTCATGATACCTGCCTGATGTCCTGACAATAGAGAAACCCAACAAGCCCTGGAGAGAAACAGATTCCTTGTTTGTGGCTTCTGAGACCTGGATGTCATGATACCTGCCTGATGTCCTGACAATAGAGAAACCCAACAGAAGAGAAACAGAAGCTCTACATGGCTTTTGGTGTTTCTGTCCAACCCAAGGAGATGAACTCTCCCTCTGCACTTTACAGGAAACCAAGACTCCTCACTCAGGGTTCTGGACTCTTACGGAAGGGCCAGCTGCCTGAAATATAAGGGCCTGAATCTTGTACTGAACTTAACCTGTGCCTTTGGAAAATTTTGGAAGTGGACACTGACTGGTCCGTGACCCAAATTTTAAGGACTTGTGATTTACATGGATCTATCAACCTACCCAACTGATATTGTATAATGTTTTCACACCTGGCGAAGGTGTATCTTTTGGAAAAATGCCCAGTCTTCATCTGAAGGTCCCATGAGATGGAGAAATACTTGTGTATCTTGGGAGTTTATTCCAGTGCCCTAACACTCTAACTGTTAATTCAGTATGGCTTGTTTCTCATTTGATTTTTTCTGACTTTGAATTACATCCATTGATACTTGTTATGACCTATTTTTCCTAGACAAAAGAACCATCTTGTAGCCACTGATTTTCTCTGGGAATACATTTGTGTGCTTTGATCAAGCCACTTTTCAGGTTCCCTTTTGACAAAAGAAACAGACCAAGCTCATTGCAAGGCTTTTTCTCTGTAAGATTTATTCCTTCAAATAATTTTTGGGACTAGTTTTCTGGACCACCTCCAATTTTTCAGAATCTTTTTTAAGGCATAGGTACTAGCACTGAAAGCAGTGTTCCTGGACTAACCTCCACTGCTGTGGTGGAGGCAAATCATCACCGTTCCTCCTATTCTCTCTTTCCTTGATCACTGTCCAAAGATCACATATTTCTGAACAGTGATGACACTATTGTACTGAAACATATTATCTTGACTTTTTATGATCTTGCTGTCTTGTTATGACCACCATGCCTCCATGGTAATTGATCATTCTACCAGTCTTATTCCTTCTGCAGATGTTATTAGCAATGGTTTCATACCTGCCTGTAAATCCTTGACAGGCCTTTTGGAAAGTGGTCCTTTCAAGACCTCCCTAGAAGGATCTTCCACTAATGAGGATTACACATTCACATCTAGATTTCAGATCTATCACTTAACTGGTCCTTAATCAGCTTAACTAGAGTTACTATAACTCTTTAAAATTGACATTGTTACTCAAACTCTTGGGTTTTGCTAAGAATTATCATCAAAGCAAAGAGGTCAATTGCAGAAAGCTTGAGGCAGTTTCTTTAGATTTTAAGGAAAATCCTTATAAATCCTTATTTACTTCTAAATAAAAATAGTATTATATAATCCCACGTAAAGGATTGTTTGATCTGCTCTATCGTCTTATATAAATTATATAATGTTAAAGAAGACACTATTTCACAGTTTACTGAAGAATGTAATTCAGCTTAGTTTTTTGTTTCTCTTATTCAGCCTTCCTTTTTCTTGTGCAATGCAGAAGCAATGAGAGCTCTGAGATTTTTTTTTAATCTTCAGTCAGTTACATCAAGTATCAAGGCATATGTTGATGTATATAATTAATAACAACAAATTTCGTAATATCTGTATCATTACCACAGAACACTTTGAATAAAAATTAGAAATCAGTTCAATAATTCTTATAAGAAAGAAATGTAATATTATGTTTTGTACAGCTACCTCCCCTTTCTAATCACTCCATGATATTTGTAAAAGATTTATAGTTATTAAAGAGAAAAGTGACAGTTAGAAAGGAAGAAAAATAAGATGGCATAAAACAGAACTGGAGAAAAGATTTCCCTATATATCCATCTACTGAAAGGCCTAAACAGAAACTTAATTAATATTAATATTTTCCTTAGACAGAAATTTTGAGGAGAGAAGGGAAATAAGATGACATTTGGTAAGATACTTAAGCCTAAAAGAGGTCCTGCTTTGATGAAATAATAGTTCTTTCTGACATTTGTTTTTCCTCTGCCTTCTCTGCAATGCTAAATGTCAGATGACACTATGATTTAAATTGTTTTTCATATTTCTAAATGTACCTACACTGTGTGTAGATTCAGTTTCAGATATGACAAAGAGGAAAGAGTAAAACCCTAAAGAGAGGAGCAGACATCTGTAAGCTTTGTTGCAACAGCAGCTGAGATGTAGTCCAACATCACTGAGACCTAAAGATAAAATCAAGCCACAGCATTTTAGTTTAGACACGTACACAAAGACAAACACACAGACAGTCTTAGATTGGAATTTGGACCTGTCCTTAATATGAAGCATTGGTGTTGAAACAGAAATCTTCCCCTGAAAGATTAAAATCCATGGATTTCACGTAAGAATAAAATGACTGGCCTGTAAGACACTTCATCTCTTTACAGTCTCATCAGCTCTTATACCATAAACCAGGATCACAGTGCTTCTTACTCAGAGGAGCTGTAAATGCTGAATGGAAAATTCACTCTTTAATATGAGCCTTTTTTCTCTTTATGTCACTAGCCTGGTGTCAGCGGGAGAGTTATTTATGTAATGTGAATGACAGGTTGCTTTTGCTTATTAAAGACCTGATAGGTGTTTTTTTTTCTAAGAGACGTGGTCTTTTTCTGTAACCTTGGTTAAATTCTCTCTTGGGAGATTGCAGACAACCTGCCAAAAATGCCTCCAACAGTGTATTAGCAGTCTTACTTGTGACTAGCATTTCCAGGGGTGGAA